AAAGTTGCCTTTAAGTTAGAAATCATTGTGATTTGGGCTGACTCTGATTCCCTGATGCAAAGAGAATCCATAATGAATCATTTTTGTGTGAAAATCCCTATTGTTGCACTAGTGACCAAACATGTATGCACTTGAATAGATACTAATTTGTGAAATAAGATGTTCCTTCCTCCTTCAACTGTTTGGAAACTATGAACATGAGAATACATATTTGGTTGTGTTTGGGATCATGACACTCTCAAAAGAGAAAGAGAGCAAATATATATATTATAATTGCCCTAAAGCGAAGATATTATTAGTTACATTTGTTTAATTAATGTATAAATACTGTACATATATTTCATAAATTGGGTTGTTTTGGGCGTATTGAAATTGTAGGAGCTGTTGTAGTACCTTACATTTAGGGTAGAGTCACAACTGTGACGTGGAGTGTGAGAAGAAAGGCCAGCAGTGGCTGTCTTGACAGCTTCATGCTGCAAATCAAACCAAGAAATTAAGACAAGTAACGAGACAAGCGTCGCCTGGATCTCTCAAGCTTTTACCTATAGGCTCCCACTGCTCTCTGAAGCTACGTTCTATTCGGGCTGTCAAACCTAGAAAGTGTTCTAAATGAAAACAGACCTTTCGCCTCTGTGCCTTTGTAGCCCTCTCAGTAGGTATGGTTTAGGTTAAAGTCCCCTGTCTTGCACACAATGTTGCATTGTGAGCTTCTATGGTGTGAGCGAAAGACTGGGAAATGTGTGTGTTTTTTCTTCTTTCTGAACATTCATCTCACTCTAGCTTCTTCTGACAAATGATCACTGTGAACAAAAATGCACACATTGCTGAATGCACAAAGCAATGGTCGCATGCAATCACCTTATGTTATTGATGCTGCACTGGCGATTCCTAACTCTCTGCACATAACAAAAAGCTCCAAAATATTCTATACCAGATACCAGAGGTGGGACAAAGTCATTGTTTAGCAAGTCACAAGTCAGTCTCAATTCATTGCCCTCAAGTCCCGAGTCAAGTCACGAGTCAAGACAGGCAAGTCCCGAGTCGAGTCCAAGTCAAAGGCCAACAAATCTCAAGTCAGTCCCAAGTCCTACGGTTTGACTTTCGAGTCCTCTCGAGTCTTTTTGACCGCGATTTGTTTCTTGTTGGTCTCCACGTACTTTTGTAGGCAAACAAAATAATGTTAGGAATCATTTTGCTGGTGCATTCTCGTTGGTCTCTGACCCATGGACTAACAGTTTTATTTATTTATTTATTTGATAGGGACAATGCACATTAATGAACATCAGTATAAAACAAATGTAAATATGCCGGATTATAGCTACAAAGCTAGTTTTCATCCGTAGTCCCTAGGCAGGAAAATACATAACGAAATACAATACAATAAAATACAAAATAACACTATAATACAACTAGCACAGAGAATAGTTCAGAGTCTAGTGGTCACATGACTGATTTCTCTTAATCCATTGTTTGATTTGAGTTTTAAAGGTGACCAGTGTAGGACTCTCCCGTAAGTGCAGAGGGAGACTGTTCCAGATGTTCATGGCCCTCACAGAGAGAGAGTTTGTTCCATGTCGTTGGCTGCTGGTAAATCAAAACTATCTACGTGATCTAATTGGATGTTGTGCCAGATGCAGGCTCAGTTACACATGCACAGACCACACATAAAATCAGAGCAGTCCATGTCAACATACTTTTTATCTTTGGGGTTTTTAATGGGAAGTAGCAAGTGCAGCAGTGCAGCATATATGAATATGAGTATTGGGCTAGGACCTGTATCTATATAATCAGTTTAATGTCCGTAGTGGTTATTGTTCCAAAGGACTGAAGGGACCAATGGAGGGGAAGGACCCCGGCCTGTATGAACTGGACCAGCATTAGTAATATCTCATAATTACCAATATATCATTACATAATAAAATGTCTCATATAAATTAATTCAATCAGTCAAAGCACTGATTCTCATATCAATGCACCATAAACAATAGTGCAAATATTAATCTAGCTTAGTGCACATAATCAAAACAACTATCTAATGTATGCAAACTTTAGCAGGAGGAGCACAGCAAAAACATACTCATAATAATAGGCCTCGGCGCCCACACAGAAAAATATAAGAAAGAGCCAACAGAGCAGCGCAGGCTAGCGCTAGTTTGACTCACCAGTTCCTCTTTAAAACACGGCACACAGTGTGACAACTGCGTCGATTCAATTGTATGAGGCGCCTGTAGTGAAAGCATATCAATTACGGTTTGTAGAACAAAGTATGACGTTAGGTCGCGATAAATACCTGCAGCTCGCTCATTTCCAGCTCCCCTAGACAACACACCCACCGGTGAATGCAGTCCGCTTGTTTAGGGAAGTGTTACTGCGCGAACTGCGGGGAACTCACGTTCGAACTCTCTCGCGAGCGCTACAACTACCGCGAGGCTTTGTTTCTTCAGAGACGGCATAGATAGAAAGAGAGATGCGGAGAAAGGTAAAAATGGCCCGGGTTACGCAAGTCTTTGCAAGTCAATTGGCGCAAGTCCAAGTGAAAGTCAGAGTCATTGATGTTAAAGTCCAAGTCGAGTTGCAAGTCTTTTTACATTTGGTCAAGTCGAGTCTAAAGTCATCAAAATCATGACTCGAGTCTGACTCGAGTCCAAGTCACATGACTCGAGTCCACACCTCTGCCAGATACAGTATTGCACTTTATTGGATATTACTGTTTCACATTAATTACAGGTGATCTGTTTTCACGCTGATCTACCCTGTTCGCAAATGTCGACTGTGTCTTTTTGCATTGCATCTTTTTGGAATCTTCTTTTTCATTCCCATGAATGGCTTTCACACTGTGTTTTCACTACTTTTCTCTGCAATTTCTGATTGGATTACAGTAGGATGTGTAAATTACGTAAAAAGTTCCCATTGGACCTGGAGCGACTTCGTAAACACACTGGAAACACACGATTGGATGTGGTGCTGCATGAGTGTGCCCCAGCACTACTGTATCCAACTGGATACAGGATAGTGGAACAGGAATGTGTAAAACATACTCGGATACTTGCTTTGTCAGCGCTTAAAGGCTTACTGACACACACTTTACAGTACTTTATTGAATCGGTTATTTTCCATAAAAATTGCATGATATTCATGTTATGTTTTCAATGTCAACTCTGTTTTTTTATTTATATTAGCCACATACAACAATCAAAATATATCTTAGTCTATAGTTGCATATTTTGCTGAATCACTTATAAATGTTTCTCCTATTAATAAAAGTGTCTGCAAAATCAGCAACATTTATTTACATAATATACACCCTGATCCCCCAGGATTATACGTATTGAAAGCTAATCTGATAACACCTTAGTTCTATAGCATTAAATCCAGCAAGAAATCGTTCAGTGATTCGATCTATGCATTTTTATCAAAACAGTTTAAGAGCCAGCAACATGACAGAGCTTCAGAGAATAGTGTTCCCGTATGAAAGGCAAACAGGAGGTGGGATAATCTGAATAGAATTATCGGATTTATCGCAACCATCGAGGTTTATCAGTGTGCGGCGGCCTTCTGATGGGCATCTGCAGACTGGCATCATTGGGGAAATATTAGAATAACCTGTGCATTCACAATCCCTCAATGTTTACAGATCCCTTTGTTGTCTGCATTGCAATGTTGTTGTTGAGAGAAAGGTAACAAAGAGGCTAGATTTGATTTGTTGTGTCAGGTGTAATAATGGATATCTGAATGCCTTGCATCTAGTTTAAAGTGATAGTATGAAGGAAAACCCTTCCTGATTTTCTTTTCCCAATAGATGCTTTATGTACTTTGAGTCCTTTTGACTCTGCTTCTAAGGACTTGCATGGGCGTGCAGGTGTTTTCATGGCCTACATCTCAGGTGTGGGCTTAACTGGAATCAGAAAACATGACAGACTCATTTTCAGTTCTATGAAAGTTGTATCTTATTAATAACATAAAAGGCCTTTTGTGGCGTCTCAGGGTGTCTGAACAGGAGGAAATTGAGGTTTTCACAAGCCCCGCCCACAAGAAAATGTCAATGACAATGATCACAAACTTTGAGGGGGCTTATAGAGACACCTTCATAGGAAGACCTTTCTTCTTGGTAATCTGCACCGAACTACAACAATTACCTTCATTTTGCTTTGACTACAACTTGTTCATGCATTCACTCAAAAGTTTTGTACATTGATGTGTGCTTGAATGAGTATATTATAGACACAATCTACATGTGTAGCACAAAAAAGGCAGATGTACAATGCAAGAATGGCTTTTACAACAAATTATTATACAATCATTATACATTGGAATTTTAAACATTATACAAAGGCCCTCAAGTTATTGATGTCATGGTAACAATGGATTCAGTTTGTGTGTAAAACCAGCCCATCCTAGTTCAGGTTGAGCTGAGAACTAAAAGAGTTCCAAAGCTTTGCCCCCAGACAGTAAAAGGGACCAAACGTTCTCCTGACTGGCACTTTCACATTTCCAGTGGAAGGGACTATGAGATGCATGGCTGCATTTATACATTAATTTCAGGTATTAACATTATATACAATTCTCAAAAATAAGAACATGTTGTTTCTGCAACCCCAGTCTTTTGTAAAGCATTCTCACTGATTTGAGGCTTGTCCTGACTCCTATTACAACAACTTCTCGAACTAATTCTTCTTCTGCAGCTGATATTCATATATTTCTGTAATTCAACTTAAAATGTGAAACAAATGTATTGATGAAAAAAAAATTCTGAGATGTTTTATTTGAGGTTTTTATAAGCTCTGAGTCAATTATCAACACCACAAATAAAGGCTTGATACATCCAATGTTGCACTTTTTGAGTCTGTTATATATTTACGAGTTTCACTTGTATTCTCACGGAAATACCTACAGTAAATTGATGCTCTACTTGTTACAATTCCTTATTTTCTCTGCATGGCTGTCCTAAAATGAAAACTAACATATCACTTAATTGTCTTCTTGCATTCTCATCTGGGCAGATCAATCGCGCCCCGAGCTTTGGTACCGATCAGAGAATAGACTACAATGTGAAGAGGGGGGTCCTATTCAACGCTCTCCAGCTCCTTAACATCAGGTATATATTCCTTTGTGTGTGCGCCTACACTGACACACAAGCAAGAGCCCATTAGAGCTCAAGTTCAGGTGCAATAATGGCTCAGAGGGTTTTATTTTAAAGGCCTGTGAATGTTTAAAGATTCTAATCGATTCCATTATTTTCCGCTTTCTCAACCAGCTTCAATACTTCAGAATTAATTTGACACAACACAATCTGCCTTTTATCTTGTTTTAGTTTCTACCGCAGTGTTAGAAAAAAGTGAGGACAAAAAATAGAACACATGATTGGGTTATTTTCTGGGCCAAAACATTGTCCTTGTAAATGTGCGGCGGTGTTGCTGTGCTGAATACAAAGGTAGATGATGGCGGTGTTACAAAGCCCTGTCTCTTATCTCGCGCTTTGTGCTTTCTTCAATCAGAGGCTCTGTTTGAATAGCTCACTTTTTACCTGAAAGTTATGCAGTTTATGTTTGGAGAGTTTACATTGTTTTCTCTGCTGTGTACCGGGCTTTCTCTGATGTTGCTTTTACTTTGTTTCTCACACTGCTCGTGCGTCTAATGTATTTTTCATATATATGTTTTGTCCATGCATATGTTATGTCCCCTGGCAGCACTGGGCTTCTCCGATGATTGATCATCACATACCAGACCTCGGGAACTCTCCTTCTTTTTATTCTATTGCTCTTTGCACTTCTCTTACACGGTCTAAATATAGTCCCAACTTCACAAATCACACATGAATAACCATACAGAGAAATCTATTACGCCATGCCCCATTGATCTTCTCGATCATACAGCAGAGTTCCCTATATGCTTGAAGAAAAAGTCACTCTGTCGCCTTTGCAAACGATCTCCCACATAAATGATTAGTTTCCCAACTAATGTTTGCAGTTATTCTACAGAATAAAAGTCCAGATGTTATTATTTTACGGCAAACAATAGCTGTGGGTTTTCAAAGCCAGCATGGAGCTCTTTTCACTTTTTTATATGAATGAGGTCTTTGTTCTGTTCTCTCACTTCCCCTGTACAGAATTGGCTTTGTGTCCCTTTAGGAAGGCCACTGTAGTTTGTAGTGTTGAGAGTCGAGCTCACAAGTTCAACTGTATCAATGTGGCATCAATCCAGACGCAGTCGGGCATGGACATTGATAAAGCTTAGCCAAACTCAATATCCAATTTAAAGGACCAGCGACTGCCTAAAATGATTTGCCCTTTTCGTCCAAACTGCAATGGACCACATGTTCGAAAAAGTGTTCTTTCTCAAAGTAAAAGTTGGTTTGTAATGTGTCTCTGCATTTTACAGGAAATGAATACAAAAAATGAATACAAAATCAGTAGTCATGAAGTTTTTGCAACACACGGTAAAGATAATAGAAAGTTGTCTCTAACTTATCTTTATCATTATCTCTCTTTCTCACTCTCTACTTTTAGAGCAAGTGATAAAAAGCGAAATCTCGCTCAGCAAAAAGCAGAGGCCCAGAGGCGGCTCTACGGACACGGCTCTATGAAGAAATTGTCAGCGTCATCCTCTGACTGGGAGAAGCAGCGCCACACACTGGAGCGGAGGAGGGAGGAGCTGGTGAGAACAAACACTTATAATGTTGGCATAATGTGGATCTGGTGAGACTTCTAGATACACATTGACAGAATGGTAATGGCAAACTAGTCAGACATTGTGGTGATGGACAAAGAGCAGAGGAAAGCCCTAGGGGTTGACAGGTCATATAATGAACTATAGATATATTCCAGGGGCTCAGAAAAGCTGCCTAGGGCCTGGAAAATGAAGCTATCAGCTGGGCCTGTGGTCACCAGTCCACTTCGAACAGTAACCCCCATACTGGAAGAGAGGCTAAAGTCCTAGGAACAGCTAGTGCAGAACTCCCGTGCTCCCACATCTCTGGTAGAGGACCCAAGCTTGGAGGGCTATCACAAATCATCACCAGCGGAGGTTAAGGAAATGGTTCTAATATAGATACACATTTTACATTTTTATACACCCTTGAGAGTAAGGACATGTGGCAGCTCTCAGTGCTTTACCTCCCACCTTCTTTGATTAGCCTGTTGATCATCTCAGTGGTAATCAGCCAGAGTAAGAAACGACAGAGCGCAAGCACCAAATTTAAATCAACTACTTCCTCTTTTAATGGTATTACCAGCTGTGGCTCCGTAAAGCCTTTACTGCAAGAGTATATATGCCCATTTTTCCCTGTAAGATAAGTATCTCTAGGAACAAACAAAAATAAAAGGTGCACTATTCTTTGTAAATATGTTGTTTTCAGTTTGAAAATCCGTATGTTTTTAAGTTTTTCACCCAGTTCAATAATTATTGTTCTACTACTTTATTTTTTTGTTCTCACAGAAAGATAGGCTGGCACAAGTTCGCAAGCAAATATCCCGTGAGGAATATGAAAGGCTACATCTTGGGAACTACAGGTAAGGCTGCAGTGTTAAAGGTGCTCAGGGCTCTCGGTTTTCTGGGACTCCACTCAACAAAATGCATGCCAACTCTTTTTTGTTTTGTTGTTTTTTTTTTAGGTCATCTTCTGAGCTCTCAGGGGAATTTAAAGTGTGGATAGAACAAAACACAAATGCAAAAGCACCCCATATTACAAAAGTTCTGCAAAACTAAAGTTTGTAAGGACACAAATGAACATTTATATTCAAGTCTGACAACTGGGAAATACTGCATTTTATTTAATTAATTTTAGTGTATTCTATCGTTCTTTCTTGAAATGATTCTTTTAGTAAGTGGCCAACTTTCAATACTGTTGACCTGTCATTTCTTTCACCTCATACTTTACTTAACTCCCACCTGGACCTTGGAAGAAACTGAGTAAATTTTTTATGAAAGAGAGCCTGCTCAGAGCTTGACTCAGCAACACCATGTTCTGTTTCACTGCTTGTTCCTCATAAATCATTAGAATTTGACCCTATCCCGACTGTGCAACCCAACAAACACTCTTGGACTGGATGTGATTTTTTTTGTCCTATATATGTTATTGTGAACCCTTTCCGCACAAACCTACACATACTGTTTGCATCTCTCACTAAGCCTAAGTGCCTTCTTGTCTCATCACTTGTCTGAAATGCTTATAGTCAGAGTGATGCCAGCCCACGTGAAGTGTTGTCACCTCCTTCCTCCTTTGCCCCGCGTGCAGGCAGGCAGACAGTCATTCAGACAGGTTGAAGGCTGTCTAGTGCTGCTAATAAAGGCCTCTTAGAATTCCGCTGGTGTCCTGCCATTGCACACTAGAGCCTGATTAACACCTTCTATTACAGCAGTGGAAGTAATGAACATGGTTAACATAAGGCTATTAGAAAGAGCTTACAAGTGTTTCACCGGATTCAGGCTGCGCAAGGAGAGATACACGCTGATGGTTTTGTGATACTTCATGAAAGGATTTGCTCTAAACCTGCAGAGTAGAATGTGTACTCAAGTGATTTACTTTCAAATTATTGTCCATTATACAATACAATTTATTAAAACTGGGGTGTGTACATTTCAAACCACAAGGATAGATAAAATCCATATGAACAAGTTCCTTGCTTTCCGAATCAACTCTTAACCCACAGTATGGTGACTCGCAGGGCTCATTCGCATATACGTTTGTGAAATATAGTATGTGTTATAATAAGATAATAAGACAGAATTACTCTGTCTGTATAATGTATTCTGTTAATTATGGGGGGTTAGGTGCCCTAGTTTTAAATTACACTAATATTTCTACTTTATTCTCATTTTTCTAACATTTTATCATGCATACTTCCGAATGTGAAAATATGTGAACAATTTGGCATCAAATGCTTTTCCCGATCCAAAATATTGAATTAAATTGCCAATCAATGTCACCAACATTTTTCATTTCCATTCATCAGAGCATCATTTTATCCAAATGACAGTTCAACAGTACTACACCCAGCATTACAATGCATATGATCTTTAGATGAATAAGACTTACATATTTGCACCCATTCTGCTAAACAGTGCTTTATTTAATTGAAATGTGTGAATATTTATAATTCTGCAACGTTTGCTCCATTGTGGATCAGGTTTTTATCAAGTGTGTTTTGACAGATATTATGTGTGTCCAAAAATATACTTAGTGTTGTGCCCACAAGTTTAGAGAGTGTTTTTTAAGGCATTGAAAATTTTGAAAAAAACAGCAATTAAATTACATTTATTTTTGTATAGCCCTAAAACACAACAGCAGTCATCTTGGAGGACTTTCCAAAGTTGACAACAACAACAATGGATCAGAGAATCAAACTAATAAAAAGGAAATGCAATCATAACAAACCCAACCATTAATCCATGGTGTAGCGGGATTACTAATGTCCATACATTTTAATACATGTGCATACATGTCCTTAACTGTTAATACAAGAGTCTGGATCACCCGGTCTTTAAAATGTGAGAAACCTTGGGGTGGCCCATATTTTAAGCAGATCATTCTGCCAACAGAGGAAGAGAAGACGCAAGCAGGAGGTTCATCTCAGGACTTTGCAATTGGTTGAAAGTTGCATCAGTTAGGAAATGTATTGAATTTGGTCACATCATTGCGGATGATGAAGTAAATCTAGTACAAAGCTGTTTTTATTATTATAGCCAGTAATTTTTTGCTCTTGTGTTCCTCTGCATATCAATTTTATAAGGGCTAAACAACACAGGCACATTATCACAAAGATTTACTTTGCTATTTGGTAAACTACTTGTTTTGAATAAAATCGTTTTCTTTATTGGCCCAAAGGTATTTGTGCATATTTGTATATGACTTTTGAGAGGGTCTTTAGCCAAGACAAATGGTGAAACAAAAGCTGAGACGCCAGGTGGCATTCATGAATTTTGTAATCAGTTTGTCAAAAATGGACATTTAAAGAAAGAATGTTGAGTAACCATATTTCAAACTTTCATCAGAGTCAGACATTGTAATTTCAAAATGAACAGGGGTTCAAATCCAAAACGTAAAATATGATGCTTTGAAGGTCTTGGGTTCCAACCCACCACGAGACCTCCATTGACTCCCACTGATGTCTGCTGTTGTTGTGTCCTTGGGCAAGACACTTTACCCCTCTTTGTCTGAAGCCCCCGCTGAAATATCACTGACAGAGCAGCCATCCTCCTGCAGGAGGATCAGTGAGGAGCTGGTGCTCTGTGAATTGGGTGCGGCTCTGACTGCCACCCCCCTGACCCAGAAATGGACAAAGGGGAAGAAAATGGATGAATGGATGGATGGACACTTACTTTTGCTTATATGCTGTGTCCTGTCTAGCCTTTACTCTTACTATTTTGTTTTTCCCTGTGACCTCTGATACTGTGTGTTATCTGCAGAATTTCCTCTCACCATTTTTGTGTGCTGTTTATGTCCACAGACGTATTTACCCCCCAGATGACAAGCTGCTGCTGGAGAAGTATGAAAGCCTGCTCTCCGCTGCCTTTCAGACCTTCCTAGCAGGGCGCGCCGCCTCACTTCAAAAGGAAATGAATAATCCTCTGAAACAAATGAAGGCACGTATGTCAGTGGTCTGACTCACGACACACTTACACACACGTACACACAAGTACACACAAGTAATGCAAACAACACACAGACAACAACACGTTTCTATTATGATTCAGGCTACAGTGACATGGGAAGCTCCACAAATAAAGCACGAAGCAGTCCACAGTACATTTCATATTTGTCACAACACAATGTCATCTTTTTCTGGCTTGATTACTCCTGTCACTGCCCAACTAAGATTTTTATAAATTTTACATTTCACAAAAAAATAAACAATATTATCTTGTTTGAACATACACGTACACGTACACATTTTGTATTGTTATTTGTGGAAGGGTCAACAGTTCAATCCCAGCTGAACACAGTATGCTGTGTCCTTTGAACGAGATGGACACATAGAATTATAATCATTAAATAAAATCCAAGATTCTTGAGAATGAAAGCGCTCAGTCAGAAAAGTGACATTCTTAAACGGTTTTGGCCCTGTCCACTTTATGCAACTATGATGACAGGTTGCATGTCATGTGGTCAGTGCTGAACACTAAGGGCTAAGCAGTTTTAGCGGAGAGTGTGGGCTCAGTGCAAGATTATAATTAATTTGAAATGTTTAATTTTAGGTATTTTAAGGATTTAAACATTTTGAATAAAAGTAATGTTGTGAAAATAAGCAATAATTCATTTAAAAGCTTTAGGTGTTGTGTGCAGAACATGGGCTGTTTTATTATCATTCTCATTAATGTTCAATAAAGTTCAAAAAATTACTAACAATAGTGTAAACGTCTTCAACAGTCTTACTGGAGAAGGAACCAATTTATATCATATTCTGTTCGGCAGCACAGTGAGAGTAGCCTGTTGCTATGGTTACTCCTATGGTGTTTAGTTGTCCTTTTATGTTGATTCCATTATTTTGACAAAGCCCAAGGGACAACCACTGGATTATGTACTATATTGTTCATTGTTCAGCTTAACAATACACCACACTTGTTTGTGAGAGGTTAGAAGTCACTGTTTGCATATATACATTTGATAAACACTTGATTACTACAAGGAAAGTATCACTTAGCTGTACTTTGAAGAAAAATAAAGGAGCTCATTGTCATAAAATGTAGCTTTAAAGCAGAATTGTGAGAATGCAATCATAAGCGGGGACACAAAAATACTATTGTGAAAAGTTCCAAGTGGGATTGTGTTATTTGTCTTGGCTCTTGTCAGTGAGTGAATGTTCTCTGTGTTTTCAATGGGTATGTCAAAGTCACTTCATGAACAATAGATAATAATCACAATGATCACATATCTGTTTTTTGCATTCAAAAGACAAGATAAGATATTGTACAGCGAGAACGACATTGGGACTTGAGATTCATCTGAACAAAAAAAATCTCTAAACTGGTTTTTGGCAACGGAATTGTAGCAAAGAATGCACGCAATCTTTTTGACGGAAGGGTTGTAAAAAAGTAGACATTAAAGTTTTATGAGGGACGTCATTGCAGATTGTGTGACAAGAGACTTTCTGACTGTAGCTCACTTTTGTTATTGCCCATCCTTCTGTGGGAAGTGTGTGGGGAATTTTTAGGAGGTGTCAATCAAACAATGAGGCAGAGCTGAAGCACAGAGGCGAGAGGAGCTTTAATTTAGTCCACGCACGCTGATGTGGATCTGTCTCTGAGCGTAGAGAGACACGGTAATGTTCAAAGCATGTTCAAATGTGTGTTTATCTTACAAAGTAATCAAGAGCGATAACAAGGCTGTTCCAAGCCATTCTTATCACATCATCTTATCAAAGTGATCATTTCTGGCTCTGAACGTCATGTGTTTTTACTATCATAATTACCACGTGTGTTGATCGGCATTTAAAATGTGCAGGATTTATGTAGATAGTTTCTCCCATTTGATCCAGTCTCAGTCTCAGAACTAAGTGGCTGATCTATTTTATCATTGTTTTCATTTTACAATGTGTCTTAAAGGAGAAGTATTGTGCAAAATCTTTTAACATGGCACAACATCGTTTCCTCATCAACAACTGACCTAGGGTTTTTTAGATCCATGCTTGAATCACAAATTTCTGGCTCAAACATGTAACTCTGCCTCTTCTGTCTCAGTCATGTATTTGTAGGATGTTGTTGTAGAAATCTAACTGGGATTATAAATCAATTTAACTTAAGAATGAATCTAATGATGAATTAGGATATCTGGGACAAAGTTCAAAGCTAATCAATCTGTTCAAGCTAACTAATCTGTTGTTCTGTAGAGACGGCGAGGCCAATGACGGGATAGAGGCAGATACTAGCTTGATATCTGAGCAAGAGGAGCGTGGTCACTGGTCATACTGACCATTCTTCCTAATATCAGAGTAATATCAGAGTCGTATCAGAGTAAGACGTCAGAAGAGAGGGGGGTTTGAGCGGCAGTTACCACTTAATCTCGGACTCAGAGACGCCATAGATAGACTCTTCTGTTTGTTCCATCCTATAAGTATGGGAGAGAGTGAGCACTATTGAGCAGATCTACTCGAGACCTGCTCACGCGGTGACGGTTGTATTTCCTGTATATGTACATTTACTGAGATAATAAACCACACTTTGATTTGTATTAAAGCTCTGGGTTGTTTATTTTTTATTTAATTATTGTGTACTTCAATCCTTGGAAATTCCATCAGAATTTATTTTCATTTTTTTTACAATTTCTCAAATGGAATGAGGTTCTTCACAATCACATTGGTAAAAAACTCCAACAAATTATTTTCTATTAAAACATGAAAAGAGTAGCTGACTGTTAACGACATTTTCTTTCTTTACTGATTGATTACACATATGTTTATTTAAGAACATTTATGAAAGGCGTAAGTACATGGAAATTAGAGGTGTAATTTACATCATTATCATTTTGATCTTTCAATTAATAGATTCGTTGTTTAGATCTAGATTTAGTCAATATGGGAGTTTTTCTACTTTTTAAACAAAACAAAGATCAAGTCATGCCTTGGAGAACATGGGGATGACCTGTTAGACATGATCAAAAATGCTTTCTGTAGTTGTTTTAGAATTATCAGAGTCATTAAACCTCTTTAAGTTCACATTCAATTCACATTGTATAGCCCTAAACTTTGACTTATCAAACTAATTCATGAGTTGCATATGAGTGGAATTGTCTTGCTGAGGTTGAGAAGTGCCTTGCAATAGGAGGCCTGCAAGAGAGACAAAAAATGGCTGCTGCTGAAGAGGAGGTGGGAGATGAGGGTTAGAACATCGAGCACTGACAGCAATGGTATTTGGTAGATTGTGATTGGTCCAGAATGAGTGATAGCTTACTGTAAACACACAAAAACATAATCTCTCTATTCTCTGTTTTATTTGATATTAAGCTATATATCTGCCACATGTGTCACTGGAAGCAAACCCCATCTTTGATTCTTAGGACATGAAAAGGAAAATGTCATGTATTGTCAAAAAAATATAAAAAGATTTGTTGTAATTCCATGAGTGCCATGCTGATCCTCTGCAGTGTAGTTGTGTCTGGATTTGGTTTCCACAGATAAGACAGCAGCAGGTTACCGTGGTTTCCAGTGGATTTGCGTCACCTCCTCACCACTTCTGCTCTGTCGGTCACAATATTACCATATTTTGCTGGGGATTTCAAACAAATAAGTCATGAGCAGGAACATGGTCACCTCAACCTTCAGTGTGGTATTAATTAATTGTTAGTACAGTATATCTGAATTACTTTTCATGTAAGACAGGCTTCACACATCATTATACAGCTAGCACACAACATTACACCATTGTAAATGAGTGTTTTGACCATGGTGAAAGCAGATTAAACACCTCGAAGCTGTGCGGTTGTATCTTTTACACACAACGTTTCATGCAGTTCCAGTATCTGCATTATGCCTTGTGCGTTTTAACATAAGTAAGGATTAAACGTTGTATCGTTTAATCCTTACTTATGGAGTATCTTCATATAAGGCATTTCATATTATTATTGATCCGAAATTGAAGTTGTGAAGCACAGTTGTATACATGTTTTAGTAACTCTGCAATATACTGCTTCAGTTAGTTATAAATCTACACATTTTATACGTAGTACGTACATCAGTAGTACGTTAGAATTTATATATATATTCTGTTAACATTAGTGTCAACATAGATGAAGTGTGTACCTGACAAGGTATTGGAAGACAAAAATGCTTCTTCCTATAATTTATATTGCCTTATACAGTGGGGCGAAAATAAGAAATAAGAAAATAATCACATTAAGAATGTATTTGCAAATGATTGGAAAATAAGTACTTAGTAAAAACAAAAGTACATTTCAATTATAATATGAAGCATGTGGATTTTTTTTTTCTGTAAGGGACCAGAACGATTGATCCGTATAAAGGAAAGAATGAATGGGGCCATGGAGAAAATGCAATAAATTAGTTTATTGATGTTTTTGTTTGGCGCGAAGAACCTGGCTGTGACGCTTGGATTGGGAAGACCATTGCTTGAGCTACGCTTTATGATTCCCTGGGTACTGGTGGTGGCTAAAGAGGCCAGAGGAGGAGGCAGTGGATGCGAGAGCTTAGAGACACGTACCAAAGTTGGAGAGGAGTTACTGCTTTTAAACCTCCCGCTTGATTGGCATGAGTTGGCATCAATTGATAGGCTGAGGGTAACATCAACAGCTTTTTACCATCTGAAGAACATTGCCAGAGTTAGAACTGTAGTGTCCAATGCAGACCTGGAGATTCTTATTCATGCATTTGTCTCCAGTAGGTTAGACTACTGTAATGGCCTGCTCACAGGTCTCTCCAAACAGGCTGTAAAACAGCTGCAGTACATTCAAAATGCAGCAGCTCGAGTCCTGACAAGAACCAGGAAGTATGATCACATTAGTCCAGTCCTCAGGTCTCTGCACTGGCTTCCTGTGGCTCAGAGAACAGACTTTATAGCAGCTCTACTTGTACAAGTCTCTCCATGACCTCGCACCAAAGTACATTAGTGACATGTTGGTGCCATATGATCCGGCCCGGATTCTGAGGGGCACAGGGACTGGCCTCCTGCAGGTGCCCAGAGTGAGAACTAAACATGGGGAGGCTGCATTTCAGATTTATGCAGCTTAAATCTGGAACAGTTCAAATCCAGGAATCCAGGTTAAAGACTGTTCTGTTTGCCTGTGCATACAAGGATTTTATCTATTTTTAATGCGTTGTGGTTATTAGGCCCGAGCCCCGAACGGGGAAAGGGCCTATTGTTTTTGCTCGAGAGATTTCAAATTCTGCACTTTGAGCTTTAATTTGACCCCCGGAACATGCATGAAAAGTTGTGAAATTTTGCCCAAACATCAGAACTGGTGAAAAATTTGATATTTTACTGTTTATTTTTATGGGACTCAAAAAATGCCAGAACAGCGCCACCTACAACAGCCAAAATAATACCCCATGGGAGTTTTGGAGATCAAGTTTGTCGTAGAGCCATGAAATTCGGTACACATGTTCCTCAAGTCAAAAATGTTCTCATGGCCCCGCCCTCTGACAAAACGGGAAGCCCATAAATTTCACTGCAAAATGGAAAAATGATCCTCAATAATTTTTATACATGTCGGTTGGAAATCTTCTCCTCCTCGGCCGTTTCACCGATTTGCCTCAAAATCGCTCCACATTATCTCAACACATGTACCTTCAAAATGACCAAAGGGATTTTTGATCAGTGAAACATTGTTTGAGCAGGGGAGCGGCAAAATGTGAGTGTTTATTTGCCGTTTTTGACAACATTAATTTTTCCTTTTGCACAAACAAAGTCTGATTTGCACAAAACTTGAATCCAAGGTTCAACTCAAGGGTGTAGGTCAGGTGAAAGTGAAATATTTGAAATTGGCCCATTAGCGCCCCCTACAGATTGAGGCAAAGTTTTACATGGGGTGCCAAACAGCTCTAATCATCATATCCATTACAATTTGACTAACAATCTTCTATGGCTACAGCAACAAATCATCACACGGCGGCCCCACCTCCTTTGCGAGGTGCTGCGTGGTACGGTGTGGTGTGGCGTTGTGCGGGGCGTTGTGGAGCGGCGCGTTGCGGCTTGGTTGTGGGGCGGCGTGGTGCAGATCCGCTTGGCTGTGTAGCTCATCTGTATAGAGCGTGTAACGTCCAAGCTGGATTAGCAGATTGAATATTGCTCTTCTTGATCACTGTTTGAGCGGTCAGGGCAACTTACCTGCAGGTGTGAAACCAGCTCCCATTGGTATTTGCTGTCATGTGTCCTTGAGCAAGACACTCACCCTAACCTTAGTGTCTGCGCACACTGGTGTATGAATGTGGAATGTGTGTGTATAGTGCTGTTCCTTGAACGATTGTAAAGCATTAATATATATACATATATATGTATTTGGTGTCAATGCTGAGTGATAATACTGTCCTATTATTTTCCTTTTGTCAATACTTGTTGATACTACAGGAGGAAGACATCCTGGACCTGTTGGAGCAGTGTGAGCTGGACGATGAGAAGTTAATGGGCAAGTCCCCGAGGCAGCGCATCCCAAGGGTGAGTGTATGTAAATGTGTGCATGTGTGTGTGTGTGCGCAGAGCAGAAAGGAACTTTTGGCCACATGCCTCGAGGGAGAAGCAACAGTGTCACAGAGGCATTGCACCGGCAGGTAGGGAGGCAGATGCCTGGAGCTAACGCCCACTGAAAGCACTGAACGTGATTCAGAAAATAAAAAGGAGGGAGGTGTCTTAGGAAGTGAGCAAGATATAGGAAAGAATCAAAAGGCCCATAGAAAAGAGCCAACTCCCCAAGGGGACAGCTGTCAGCCTGGCTTCTCCCTCACACCATGCTATCTTTCTTTCTGTCTATCTGCCTCTCTTCTTCTGTTATGTTGTCACATACACCTCACACCCCCTCCCCTTTCCTCCGACAGCACATTACTCCCTCTTTCACCTCTCCACATCTACATCCATCCCTCACTCCAGGGCTAAATTGGCTGGAACACTCAAATAGTGTGTTAGGGACTCGACAGGGCAGTTCGCCGCTGCATTAGAGAGGTCTTTGCTAGAATGAAGACTTGTTCAAACGCAATCACTGTTGTCCAAATTAATTTGGGCTCATCCATTTTGATGTTGCTGTGTGTATGAAGAGAGACTATGAGAGCTGTTACGGATAGATTCACTCCTTTGGGTGCTGCGCTCATAAGCCATCTGCTAAAACTAAACCAATGAGTGCAAAAGAGGAGAGAGGAAAAAGACAGGGATAACATACAAGATTTAGAGGCAAGGAAGCAGCGCTTCACATTTATTTTGGGAGAAAATCTTTTATCACAGGGGACAACAATTTTGAGAGCAGAAAAGCATCGTGACTTCAATGTGACTTTCAATTTTCGAGTGAAAGCTTGTATTAAAGAACATTACATTATTGTTCTCATGTCACTGTATCAGTTTCATTCAGTGTTTTTTCCTTTGTTTCTTTGTCTCAATGTTTATCCATGATCTGTTTGTATCTTCCTTTATACATACTGTTTCCTTTTCTCTCTCAGTCTTCATTTCCGTTTGTCCTATTGACTGCCTCACTCTCCAATGTCTCCATGGCGCTCACAGTCAAATTCACCTTGTCCCAATCTCTTTTGATTCCCCCTCCAACGATCTCATGTTCCCATCTCTGCCTTTTATTCGTTTCTCTTGTATTTAATCTTCCTGGGTTGTTGTTGTCTCCCATCACTCCACCATTGCACACAACTACGGCAGCGGCTGTACAGAAGCCCCTGCTCGTTTTTTGCTGGTTTGAACATTATTAATTCAAGGTAATTGTTTACAATCTTTATTTTCAAAGTCAGAAATTTACTTTTTACTTTTATTTGCTAGAATTTCCTTTAAAACCTTATATCCTACAACAAGCAATTCAGGCCTATTACTCTTGACAGATTTGGTGTAACTGAGTCAGGTTTGTAAGTCACTTCGCTCGCTCACCTTCTACTGATTGACATCAGGGCTCTGTGATTGCCAAAACATTAACTTTGGTTGTACACGTATATTTGGAAGACCCTTTTCCATTGTACTCAAGCTTTAAAGTCTTGATGTCTTTCTAAACTTAATTTTTTGTAACTTAGCTAACCTATGAGAAGCTCTGAAGTCATGACATCTGAGCTTTCCTTGGGCTTGTTAAAATACATACTAATCTATGTGTATGTATACATTCTAAAAGAATACTTCTTTCACTTATTGGTGAAATTACTCTGTTATTCAACACTTAGAGGGGGCTCTAAGTGTTGAATAACAGAGTAATTTCACCATTGTGTCCCTTAAAATATGCAATATACAGGCAATGAAACAGGATACAAAAAATACTTGAAACACATAACATTAAATCACATTTTTGTTTTTGTGTCAGAAGACAAGAACTTTCCTAGAGGCAATAAAAATACTGAACGGTGACATTACTGTGAATTCAACCTTTACATATTCAGCTGGGCCATATTTGTTCAAGGTGTAAAGCCATCTCCTTGCCTATTAATAGTGACAGTCCATGTGTAATTGTGCATCTGTACATAATGAACTTGTAAGCAAATAGACACAAGAGAAAACAGTTTGCACACAGGCCTCAGTGCGACAGATGGTAATGAGGAAGAGGCTGAGGGAGGTTAGCAGCTCTATGTGTGGCTATTCTTCGACTTTTTCATTGGATATTTTTGGGAAATAATGCACAATAGCTGCAGTGTTGAGACTGGCAAAAAAATAACCACATACAGATTTTGTTTTAGAAACATTTGACTTTTATTGCAATATCAGTGTTTTTTTTTTAATTTCTTCTATTTTTTTCTAGTTGTTCTGAACCTGATTTTTTTCAGGTTTTGTATTAAACATCCTGATTGATTGATCCATTAGTTCTTACCGCTTTCCAAAGAGTTTCACTCTTTTATGTGCTTTTAAGATAACCTTTTTCCAAAATGATATGTTTTTCCCAATCAAATGTTTTGAATAAATCAGACTACTACAACATGCAGTCATCATCTTAGAATTTTTTTTGAAAACTTGCAAGAAAGAACCCTGTAAGTCACTGTTTGTCGCTTTGGGCTGAGAGTTGATTGAGTAAATGTGGCCCTCTTCTTCTCTGAAATTGTTACAAAGGCCAACAAACTGTTTTGAAAGCAAGGGACAAGTTACATAGAGTCTAATACTGCTGATACCATTTTTTTTATTTTAAATGCAAATACTGCACCTTTAATTAATCTTGACTGGCTTTTGATTTTTGAGTGAATTTGAGCAATGCCGTTTTAATTGTTTGATTTTACTTTTGTGACTTTTTTCCAATTTCTTTGAACTGTAGAAAAAATACATATTTGGTTTGATTCAGCATCTATTGAATTATGTTGTCAAGCTATCTGAAACCCAAGATATCTGATTGCCCAATTTCCCTCAACACAACATGTGTTTCCACCAGCCTTTGACCGCCATGCCAGAGTCCATCCAGTATCTACGGAGGCAGCGGCCGGATTACCTGGCTGACTTCACCAGTGCAAGCAGCGCTGACAACTCCTTCACTTCCTCTGACGAAGAGGAGGAGGATCGGAGGAAAACTGCAGGAAGGAGGGCAGCGGAGAAAAAGAAAGTGTCCTATGATCTCGGAGATGACAAGGAGAAACACATGGCTGAGCGAGCAGGTTTATTTTCACTTTTTAATATTCATTTGTTCTCAAATATTTCCATTAGTAATTATTCTAAAATCAGTAAAACATGGAAAAACTGAAATGCTGCTGGAAGTTTTGCCTTTTTTTCCTGGCTGTATTTACTGTATGTAGGTTTTTTTCAATTTATTTCGTAATGCAATATATCACAAATTAGTTTATTTACAGAACTGCAACCAAAAATGTGTAATTGACATCCGAGCCATGAGGAGTTGGTGTACATCACCTGTTTGACTGGCATACTAATGTGCAGTGATGATTTAATTATATTTATTACATATGAATAAATCAGATCAATCAGTATTAATTTATGTTCACATGATATAAAAATCAAGCCATAGAATATTTTTGTTTTTAACTCCCATTGCTTTGCTGAATGATCTCAAACAACAAATGTATATGGCCAATATATATATATATATATATATATATATATATATATATATATATATATATATATATATATATATATATATCTAGAAAAGTTTGTCATATTGCATTTCTGAATTGTATAAGGATCCATCCCCTTTGCCGATACACTTGCGCACCTAAAATATATTCATAGCAGCAGGCACACATTTCCATATAAATATACACACTTCCTTGTACAAATGCTTAGAGTGCAGCTTTGATCACTTCCCGCTGTGAACCCCCACACTTCTAAGCAGCAGGTTATAACAGAGCAGCTAAAAACGCAGCCTATCTTTATATTTCTTTTTTCCAAAATTATATCTCACATTTATTTATCGATTTGAAATTTTTTTACTCAGATATCCCATCCAAGGATAAGAACTTTTTTGATCTCAGAGTGCAGAAGTTATCTTATGGCTACTATCTAAGTGCAAAAGGAACAACTGTCCCCCTAGACAGACAGATAGATAGATAGATAGATAGATAGATAGATAGATAGATAGAATAAAAAAATATCAAGTAAGTAAGTAAGTTATCTTTATTTATATACCGCCTTTCACAGACCAGAGTCACAAAGCGGTTTACAATTGTTATTTTTTGGGCACTTGTCCTCTCACTCCACACAGAGATGGGAGCGGGGTCGCAGAACAGGAGGCGCATGCCAGACCTATTGTACATATTTTTAGTGGTAGGGGAAACCGGAGTACCCGGAGGAAACCTACGCAGACACGGGGAGAACATGCAAACTCCACTCAGAAAGGCCCTGGTCCGGCCGGGATTCGAACCCAGGACCTTCTTGCTGAGAGGCGAGAGTGCTATCCACTCAGCCACCGTGCCGCCGAAATATCCTCTTTCCTGGTCCTCTGTGTAATCTACTCTCAGTACACAGCTGTTCTGTGAGGGCCTCAGAGCTAGGGTCAGGGTATATAATGTTAATAAACAGCATCATTAAGGCCAAGGAGCAGATCAAAGAGGTCAGGGAGAAAAAGTTGTAAGCATGGTCAGGTCATGGTTTGGCAGATCTGCAAATCTACCAACACTCATCTGTCTTCCTAAACTCACAGCCTGGCCATGAATGAGTGGTAAATAGAAAGTCAATATTTGGAAAGTAGAAGAAGCAAAGCGATGACACATGACAGGTGATATGGTCAGAGTTGGACAATATTGGGCAAAATGCTGCTGGAGGTGATGTATGAATGTATGAATACTTGCAAACCCTAGTTTTATTATTATTAACAAAGTCATGTATCAAAGGACGACATAGAAACATGAATCAGGTCGTTTGTGAATGTGAAGCTCCAGTCTTAACATACATGTGAGTATCGTCTCCCGTTATGCTTAACCCAATAATGTATAGATACAGTACAGACGTACCTATAAACATATTTGCGACTCAAGGCCACACATTGTGAGGTTTTGTCCTTCCATGTGGACAAAAGCTTGAGCTCTTGAAAGAAGACTTAAAAAGAAAGTGTTGTGTATAGTCCATTTGAATCAAAGGGAAGGTGAAGTGAAGCAGCAGAGATATTGAGAGAAACAGGCACCTTTTTACAGCGGCTTTATTTCTGACCTTGGAACAGTAAATTTTTTATAATTACTGCATCAATGCATTCTGTTTGCAAGAAAATAAGAAAAATACACAAGAAATCCACAACTTTGAAATGTAACTGAGGTTTAGCCTTTCGACTCTAATACATCAATAGTACTGTTTCATGTTTGCTGGATTCAAAACAGATAATTCAACCATTTGATTTGTATTAAAGACACTACTAAATCATCTTTTTGTTTTGGGAGGGATAATTGTCGTTGCCTTTCTTTGGATGAGTTTTGTTCAGGAATAGGATGTTAATAGGTGTGGTGCTTCAGTTTGATTTGTATTAGATATTAGACCTCCAGTCGGCTCAAAGGGACATACAAGACTGTTAGACTAAGCGTTTTGAGACTGGATCCAGGGTGTCGTGGAATTTATAAGAGGGACTAAACTGGTCAATGAAATGTTAAATAAATTGTGATTATTTATTGATTTACAAAGTACATATCATACATTACTGCTACTCAGTGGCCCTTTTTTAATCAAAGCTCTGTATAAGGCACATTATCTTTGTGAGTCATGCGTACAGGCTAAATTAAGCTCTCTGCGATTGACCAATTTTAGTGTAAACATTTGGCAGGCTGAGATTCCGCTTCCTGTCTCGGTGTCAAATGCACCAAATGTACTCGGAAATTTGTTTTTACCACATCAATCATGTTGCCTGGGTGTGTAAAATTCAGTGACATTTCCCTATTAACATTTATCAATCATAAGATCCAGAGACAGCAGTGGTCACAAATACTCACCAGTGGCTCTGGTTCTGGTTCAGTCTTATAGAACTGTCCTGTGTGCAATGCATACATGGAAAAAAATTGTTAACTTTATTCTGAAATGAGCTTGTATGATGTACGTTCCATTTACAAGGAGCATACTTTTTTTAACAAGTGATGTCAAGAAGGTTGAGGTCCATAGAGCTGAGACTGTGCAGGTTCATGAGACAAAGCCAAATGAGAAATGTATGAGGGCACCAGACTGTGAGGGCTTTAAGATAAGATAAGATATTCCTTTATTCGTCTCACAGTGGAGAAATTTCATTGTCAAGTTGTAAACAAACGTAAGGATGTTTAAGTCAAACTGTGCAACATGAATTATTTACAAGAAGGTATTGAAGAGAGATGGTCATAATCTGGAACGCGACATGAAAAAAAATCCCAATAATTCTGTCCAGCATTATGCTTTTGCTGCCGGATTTGGTGATTGTGTCATTTTAGTTATAATCAGCAGGTGATGTTTATTACAATTAGCTGGTGATGACAATCTTTTTCGGAAACTCACAGCCATTGTAAAAGTTGTCAGTAGTGCCACATAATCTTGAAGTGACGTGAGGAAGCTTCATATGCTCCATTAGACATCTCGCTGAAGTGGGGTGAAACATTTCCACAGTGGAAATTCCATGCTGTGAGCTAGAGTTGGTTGTCCTTGGTATTGCAGCTGCTGCATGCGGTGACACAGGCTTCACAGGCTCTATTCTCTTTTGGGATCATGATAGAGCACTGACACTTGTTTATCCATTTCGGGGTTTCACACGGTTCGAAGGACAATGCTAAATGTTATGAAGAGTTGTTGATATCCACACATGAAGAAACAGGAGAGGCTATGTCAGTTGTTGTGCATTTATTATCCTTCCTCATGGTGAAAATTAAGATACAAATGCGTTGTGACATGAAGCATGGTTTTTACTATGACATTGACAAACTCATGAATTAAATAAATCATTAAATAAACAAACAGTGTTACTCAGCAAAAAAAAAAACATTCTAATCAAATGGTACAAAGCATGGACATGCTGACAGGGCAAGAATGAAGGGGGTCATAAAGGTTGATAAGAATGTGTGTTGCTGGGTGGAGTGCTTCCTTTTGGCATCCTGATGTCCGGAAGTACTTTCTAGTAATTTTTGACAGTATGATAAATATTAACACAAATCTTTTTGTTCTCTCATCAATTAAAATATCTTATAGGATTTAATCTTATTCCACTGTTTTTGGAATCCTTCTGCTGAAACCAGAGAAAATGTATGTCATAGACGTATAATCACACCTGCTCCACAATGTGTGACCGTTGTAGTCACAGTCTACAGCCCAAACACACACACACAAAAACACACGCACACACGTACAACACATTCTACATTATATCCTTTGCAATTACACTCAGTTTTGAACATTTATTGGGGGATTACCAACACCTTTATGCTTTTTGCGCACATGCCGCGATTAATAACACATGCAGACTGGGTCAGTGTGCCATTGTGTGACAGTAGAAGATGTAACACTTTATGCCCAAAGCATCTCTGAGAAAGGATGGAAGAGATTTGACAGTTACTCTGGGACTGAGATGCCATGACACAGATCAAGAAATTTGAATGTGACACAGCCAGTCAGTTATCTCTTCTTTGCTCTGTTTCCATAGGCCGAATACACTGGAAACCTTCAATCAAGTCTCTCAAATCAGCTCCCGCCCACCCCGCCTCACCGACTCTGACTGGACCAATCAGGCGCTCCATCTCCTGTCCCCGCTCTATCGCCTCACTTTCATCGCCGAATGAGGTGCGATCTTTGTCATGCAGGCCACCTCCCATAGTCCCCTTGGCCACGCCTCTGATCAGGCCCAGTTCAGCTACACTTCGATCACATTCGCTGAGTCGAACTGGCTCCGCCCATCGTGTACCCCATAGCAACAGCCTGGGGACCATCCACTCCAATATTGTAAGTTACACGAGATGTCATGCCTTTATTGTACTGTTCATTGTTTTCTCACTAAAATGGCAGCCTCAAAAGCTCTGTTTACGGTCTTTTCTACTCCTGTGGAATATTTTATCCGTTGGCTCCACAGAATATGTTAAATTCTCTATCCTTACTGTACAGGGACCTTCCAGCACACCACAATGATCTTTTATTGCATTGCCATATGTCCCTTCGCACCTGCCTCTTTCATTTTACAACCATGCTGTAAACTCTGAATACTGTGGAGGGAAAAGTGTCAGAGTAAAGTACTCCTCAGTGGTCACACTAGAATGTGATATTTGTTATTCTGCCTGTATAAACTGTTTGCAAACTCCGGCCCGAGGAAATGTGCCGCTATCATTTGCATATGTTTTGTTGTGTTTTATCACTGACCTACATCATTTTACTGTACGCTTCTAGGGCGATTCACTTTCAAACTTGAGGAGTAAGGAGCAGGAGCTGGAGCTGGTGAGGCAGACCTTGGCTGCCCTGACTGCAATGAGGATTCGATTTCCAGGCAAGACAGAGGAAGAAGCAGATGCTGTGCTCGATGATGTAGGTACTCATGGAAACAATATACAACTTCACACACTGTTTGCCTTTATTATACTGTTCATTCCAGTTATAAGAAAGTTGGAAAAACACAAATCTGTAGAAGTATTGTATGTGAAAGCTCTAAGGCCAGCATTGTGGGCTGGTCATAGACACTATGAATACTGTCTCTCAACGTTTTTCATGTAACCTGTTTACAAAGCACTTCATGGTCTTGCCCCGCCCCCACTCTCAAACGTAATTAAAGCTAGAGCAGTAACAGGTCTCCGCACCCGAGCGCCCTCTAGAGGAGATGTGGATATCCCACACAGAAAAACTACATTTGGACAAACTGTGCTGTCGGTCAGAGGAGTTCAGTCTTGGAACAACCTTCCTACAGACATAAGAGAATACCCGACATATAGCTCTTTTAAAAAAACAAAACTAAAACACCATTTTAAAGTAAATCAGTCCTGCACTCATTTTAACTAACTGTAATTTCTATCCATCCATCCATCCATTTTCTACCCTTTAATCCATTTCTGGGTCAGGGGGGTGGCAGTCAGAGATGCCACCCAAGTCTCATAGCACCAGCCCCTCACTGACCCTCTGCAGGTGGTGAGTCCACAGGAGGACAGCTGCTCTCTGAGTGTGAGCATAGCCTTGATCTTTCAGTGGGGGCTTTTGGGCAAAGTGGGGTTAAGTGTCTTGCCCAAGGACACAACGACAGCAGTCATCAGTGGGAGTCGGTGGAGAAGGTGCAGAGGTGGGAATTGAACCCACAACCTTCTGGCCTTAAGGCCAATGCTCTACCAACTGAGCTACTGTCGCCCTAACTGTAATTTCTATAGTTGTATATTGTCCTTTTGTATTATTATTGTTGTGTGACCTGCCTCGGGACTACGGATGTAAATTAGCAGTTTTGCTACAATCTACCTCATTTACAATTTGTGTACAACTTGTATATGATTGTTCATTAATAAATAAAATAAAATAAACCTCAGAACCTGTTGTATACTACAGTATACCGCTGCTGCTTTATTATCTCTGTAGTACTTGTCCATGTCTTAGAAGAACATATTTCTGGAGATATCATGTCTTTGGTTGTATATTCAGTTTTTATGAAGGTTATAACAAATGGGCTTGGATGGTTCTTTTAATAAAACAAAAAATAAAGAAAGCTAGTAGTTTTCTCTTATTAAAATAACCTTCTAAGCCTTAAACATAAGGAGACAACATTTACTTTTTACATTTGGTTATAACAAATTACTCGTTGTGCGACATTAAAACATGCAGTGTAAGTTTGTGTTGCTACAATGATGTTGAAAGGAATTTGTTTGGATCAGAAATACTTTTGACTGTTTGGAGAGCAGGAAGTGTAGAGTCCTCAGAGAGTGGAGAGGCTGCAGCTGATCTTGTGGGCAGAATGATGACCCTCTGAGCCACTTGTCTGACTGCTACTGTGCAGCTGCAAAACAAACTGTTGCAACATGTTATTATTCTCTCCATGAAGCGTTTGCATTGGAACACGCATTTCAGAGAGGGTCTTTTATACTTGTATTCAGTTACTAGCAACTCAAGCATTTTGTTTTATGAGCAACACAGTTCTATTCTCTATTCACTTCCTTGTTTGCATTCTTAGAATATCTGATATTTCATACCGTGCTTATAAGATATTTATACCACATGAACAGTTTCACATGTTGTCCATTTCCTACCACAAACAAGAAGATATTCCATTGGACTGCATTAGAAGACATTAGAGAAGTGATTTTTTTTTTTATTAAAAAAGTGTGACCTACAGTACAAAAGAATCCTGCCCCTTTTCCTGAGTGCAACCAATTGCCTTCAGAAGTTTCCTGACCTAATTTTGAAGTAGAGTCCATGTGAGTGTGATCTAATCTCAGTATATTTACAGCTGTTATAGAACATTGGTCAAAAAACAGCATAATGAAATCCAAGGAAGCCACCAGATTGGCCTAAGAAGGATTCTCCATAATTTTAACATCTCAGTACAACTGCAAACCTTCCCAGCAATCAGCTCAAACTAGGCTGAAGGACAGCACTGATCAGAGATGCAGTGAAAAAGCCGAGTACTTCAAAAATTGTCTGTCACTTTGTGTTGTGTGTTCCCATAAAAAGCCGATAAAATATCTTGTATCAATATGTTCGTGGTTATAATTAGGGATGCACATAAGTGGTACGCAGGTACGCATGCGTGACAAATATCAGAAATGCGTACTTTAATACTTAAATGCGAGTTAGAAAGCGCTTTTGCGTACTTCACATGGACCAGTCCTTCTCAAATAGTGGGGCGCGGTGCAATAACATCCTCCGTTCTGACCCCGGGATAAACTGTGGCAACTCTGATGGGGCTTTCACACCGCCAACACTGAAACGCTGAAGCTGGTCATTTGTTGTGACCAAATCAAACAGAACAAACCAAAACAGTCTTGTTTATTTTATTTTACTTACTTAAGAAAGAGCCCTGTGAGTCATGATTTGACTTTTTGGGCAGAGAGTGGATTTATTTTCTATAATTTTTTCCACATAGTTAGTGCTACTCAATTGCCAAACTCTTTTTGACTTATTGTATTGAGAAAGATGTGTTAGTCCCACATTATTATTGGTTGTTTTATTACCTTTCCTGTGTGGAAGTTGTATATTTTTTTATTATTCTTCTGAAGGATTATAATAATGTTTCTATCTGCTAGAGGCCGAGATATCAATCATTCTGTAGACGTTGAATTTCAGCATTAAAAAGAAGCAAGTAAAAAATCTTGATTAAGAACCGCGCGACAAATGAGTACCAAACACCATGTCCTGGTACTCATCTGAGTACCTCACTGAAAAAGTTATGTGCACTCCTGGTTATAATAAGACTACATTTGGAAAGGTCATGAAGGTTTGAAGACTTTTACACAAGATCTCTCTTGTGCTTGTGTCCATTTGTAACTGTTCAGCTGTAGTTTCATTACCTGCTCTCAGCTAAGCCCAAAACAAGACAAAGGAACAGCTGTTTTAGTAGCTTGGATGATACAGAGGAACATCTGTGTTTCAAACATCACCCATTCAGTTTATGACTCAAAATGACATTATCGCTGAAACAGTTAGCTATTCATTTGAATTAAGTTAAGGTTTACAAAGACTCCACACCTAAGGCACACTTCTTTTATAGTTACCACTTTCCACATCCAGATTATTTCAGTCAGTGTCCAGCTCATACTAACTTTAAAGCTGATTTGGTTGCCTGCGCAAATTAAAACAGATGCTACAAACTTGAGATACTCTGACCACATTCAAAATACTTAGGTGCACATCCAAATGTCAATTGAAACCCTAACACAGTCCTTTTCAATTCATTCAATGTACTCGCAAATGTTAACTATAAAACGTGGGGGCAAAGGCAGGTGGCAGAAATACGTTTAAATCAGGAAAGACTTAAACAGAGGACGTATTCCACATATTTTTTGTAGTTTATTGTTTATTACCGTGGGCTAATTTCCATCCGTCGTCCCACTGTCGCACTCATAACTACACACTCATTGACCCTGAACTATTGTAAATAAGGGGGAAACCCACACCCAGACAGAAATATTGCATAACATACAGTATGCAGGATGGGATTAAAATTGAGATTATGAAAATGAAATCCCCTGGGGTCTAATCCATGAACTGTATATAGATGGACAATGCTAACCTGGTAGCCTAATGAAGCCCAATAGGGAAGTGCTCATGTTTGTTCTCCAACTCGCTTTGACTCCTATTGACTTTCATTCAAAAATAAACCTCTCGAGCTCAGTAACCGTTTGCTTCACACTCATAATTATGGGCTTAAAATTCCATGGTTCAGGGCTCCTAGAGTTTTTATTTAAGCCCGAGCCCAGACATTCCTAGCTGAAACTGCCGTAGGGATTGCAAACACTGCTAAAGTGATATTACTCCTGCTGTAGTCCATAGTGAAACAAATGGGGTCATATGGAGTGGGTGAGTGGACATCATTGAGTCACCCATAATGCAACGGTTGCGTTTGTGTGCTTGATATTCAAAAACTGATCATATTTACTCCTGCTGTTGTACTCAGTGAAATGAGTTGGGTCCTATTGAGGGGGCACCCTCAATAGTACCCAACTCACCCTCATCACCCTCATCACCAATCACCTCGAGTCTCCCCAAAACTGCACAAAATTTGAAACGGTCGGTCAATGCTGAAAGTGAAAAAAAAAGAAATGAGTGAGCCAAAATTCTACATGGGGAGCATAAACATTCATCTTTTTCAAAATGGTTGAAGTTGGGCACTAAATTATGTTTTGGCATTTAACTAATTGAGTCTGTGTGGGGTTCCTCTGAGCACTGTGTTTTCCAGCTCCAGTAGTCCTAACCAAGCTGATCAGATTCAGATTCAGATTCATTTATTCGCCATTTGCAGTAACACTACATTGGAATACATTTGTAAAAGTTCCCAGTGTGCACAGGACAAGTACAGACACAAAACAACATTAAAAGACAAAAATAAAACAAATTAAATAAAAACAGTAAACAAATGTCACCGTGAAGTTGACCAACTTAAAACAGATCTATACGAGTGCAAAAACATTAAAGTGCTCTATTCAAACTGTTAACAGCTCGTGGAAAAAAAACTATTAGCATAACGAGATGTCCTGCATCTCAGAGAACAGTATCTTCTGCCAGAGGGAAGAAGCTGGAACAAGGCTTTTCCTGGGTGGCCAGAAGAGTCATTGATAATTCTCAGGGCACTGTTAAAAAGTCTGGATTGATAAAGAGCCTCCAGGACAGGAAGTTCACAGCCTACAGTCCTCTTAGCAGAGCGGAGCACCTTGTTTAGAGCTCTCTTTTCTTTATCTGTGATGTTACCGAACCACACAGACACAGAACCAACAAGTAAACTCTCAATGGTGCAGCGATAAAAGTTCAGCAGAATCTTAGAGTTAGTGGTAAATTCTCTAAGTTTCCGCAGGAAGTAGAGACGCTGACGAGCTTTCTTTACGACCCGGTCAGTGTTT